CCCCCCCTCCCCGCCCCCACGCTCTGGCATAATTCGACCCAATCAGACCTTCAGGTGTCGTGTCAACGACCGAAGGCGGAGCCCGCGGCGGCAGAGCAGCAGCCCTGCGCCAACGGCAACAGCAGCGGTGCCGCCACCGAGACGGCGATCGGCGACGAGACTGTCACCGGGTGTCCCTCCTCGCCCACCAGCCCGTCCTCGGGGCGTGTCCTTGGTTCGCCGTCGTCCTGCTCGTCTTGCGGCCACACGGCGTTGTCGACATCGCCCCCGCTTGCCGCCGTTAGCGGCGGCGGCGGCGGTGGTGGTGGGTCGAGAGCGGCGACGGCGGCGGCAGCCGTAGCCGGACAGCGACCGAGAGCGAGCGGCTGTGCGGCGGCGGCGGCGGCGGCGGCGGCTCCCGTGTGTGAAAGCCTGACGGCCCCGCTGCCGTTGCCGGGCACTACTAGCAAGGCTGACGATGGGAACGATGACGGGCACGCGGATCCCTCCGGCTCGTCTCAGTCTCGTCGAGCGTTTTTCCTGTCGTTTGACGAGGACGCAGAACGCTTAGCCGGCGGCGTGGGGCGGGCGAGCGAGGAGATTGGTCAGTGTCGGGATGGCGGTGGTGTGTCTGCCGTTGAAACGGCCGCAGGGCGAGAAAACCTCCCCGCTGCCGGAAGGGATTTTTATCCCCCCGCCGCCGCCGCCGCCGCCGCCGCCGCTTCCCCGCGAGCTGCTGCCGTTGCCGGTGATAACGCGGGCATCCACCACCACGACAACAGTGACGGGGAGAAGGCGTCGCTCTCCCAGCAGGTGGAGTCTCTGCTGGCGAGAGTGGAATTCCTGGAGAAACAGCGATCGTTCGAAGGGGCGGGGGTCGGGTGTCGCGGGAGCGGGAGCTTGTTGAACAACCGGCGGGGCTCCGAGGTTGGGTTCTTGCAGGAGGAGCACCCCGGGGGGGGAGGGGATCGAGGGGCACCGCCGCTGATCCTGACGCCCCCTCCGAGGCTAGGCGGCCACCGCGCTGGCGGGGGGGAGGGGCACCACGCGGTCGGGGTCAGCACGACGCCTTTCACGGGGCTAGATGTTCTCTTTCGCACGCCCAAGGTAAGAGGTTGCTGGTGTGATTGTGTGTGTTGTTGGGGGTGTTAGTTTGGCCGTGCTTGGTTATGCATCTTCTTCGATTTAGTGTAGCTTTTTTCATGTCACGAAAGAGAGATAGATTTACGCGTTTGAAGATCGTTCGAAGGAACGTGCTGAAGTCTTTACGTTGAGGGTTCGAGGGAAACCTGCTGGGGTGGTGCGTGAGTCTGTTAAAAAGCCAAGTCATGGAGAGATCAGTGATGCCAGCCGGAGCAAAATTACGCCTACAATACCTCGTCGCCGGTGGCACATGTTCCCTCCGTCGGAGAAGACCTCTCGTTTTGTCTCCGTCCACGTTGCTGCCCCAATGATGGTGGTGCTATCTTTATCGACTAAGTGCGTACGGCGTGCGTTTGTGCGTGTGCAGCTTGGCGGTCTTTGCTCGTTGTGCTGAATTGCGACCCGTCTGCTGTCTCACTAGGTCGCCTTTTTCACTTTTTCACTCATGTGGCCCCCGTGGTTGTCGTTACCTCTGCTGTGCTCGCGTCCATGCACTGCTGTCAACCACCCACCCATTTTCTGTTCTGAGAAACTTGTCGTCCGTGTCCGCTTGAGTCGAGCCTGAACCCTTGTCCTTCGCCCCTCCTGCCGGCATGCCCCCCCCCCCCCTCCTTCCACCCCCCCTCCTCAGCAACCGCAAGAAAGTGCGGAGCGATACAGCCAGCACGTCATCCACCCCCCGCTGTCCCCAAGCCGTGGGAAAACACGCTGGGCCGCCCCCCGCGTCCCCCCCACGGACGGGGGCAACAGCAACGTGGGCCACCCGGAGTCGCCGAGAAGATCACGCCTGACTTGGTGCGCCGGAGACGGCCAGGAAGCCATCGAAGCCAGGGGGGGCAGAGCGCCCCCGCGGGCCCAAGGGGAGGGGCCAGCGGTGCAGCAGCCACCGTCGCCCCCCCTTTACAGCCTGGGGGATGCGCGAGGGAAGTGGGCGTTGGAAGCGAGGTCGCCCTCTGACCTGGGGGGTGACGGGAGGAGCTTGTCGCAGAATGCGGCGCGCGACGGAGGGGAGGGGGGCGGGGGTTCGCGTCCCCGGTCTGCGACGGAGGGAGTGGCAGGGGGCGGGGACGGTGCGGGAGGCGAAAGGGGGAGGAGCCTGTTTTCGAGCGACCGACATACCAGAAGGTGTGTACTTGTCCCGTCGTCAATGGCGTTTGTGTTGTTCTTCGGGAGTTGTTGTTGTTGTTGTGTTTGGTGTTTCGTCACTTGACGTACACAGTAGCTGTCCTCGTCGTTGATGTTTCTTGTTGCCAATTGTAACCTGATTCCGCGTGCCCTACCGTTGCGAGTGTCTTGTGCTGCTGTACTAGGAAGAGAGAGAGAGAGAGAGAGAGAGAGAGAGAGAGAGAGAGAGAGAGAGAGAATGACACGGCTTGAATGGCCACGCCAACAAAGATACCTTGTGGAAATTCTTTGTTTATTTATTTGGGTGTTTGTGGTCTTCATCGCAGTATTGTGACGGCCGTGGTGTTGCATGTTGAGGTTTGTTTGCAGCTGTGTTGGGCATGGTTTTTCAGAGGCAGGCATATGTCTCGTGACGTTGTAGTTCTGTCTGAAGTGATACGTATGTCGACGTCCGAGCCTAGCGCAATATGCCAACGTGACCCTCGACACAAACGGAAATTGATGTAACTCCGCATCGTTTAAGACCTCAACGACAGCGAAGTACCAGCGACCACAGCTCTTGGCCCGCGATGTCTCCATGGGCCGTCTAGGTGTCCCCCCTATTGTTGATGTTGTTCACAGTTTGGCGGATTGTACAGCAGTACGTTACCAGGCCGAGCTATTTTACAGTTGGTTTTCTTGTGGCATGACTCTGATCAACGAGCATACCGGTGTGATGTCGGAGCACTGATACGAGGCATGGATCAGAGATTTGATTTTCCTGATACACGACTTTGATGACTTTGATGACTTTGATGAGCGAGCATGCGGACGTGATGGTGGAGCACTGATATGAAGCACAGCTCGAGGATTTGTCCGAAGGCTTTTTCGTGTGCTGGGATGTTTCTCTTCGGAATTTGCGGAATCGCATGCCCCAAGCCGAAGTCTAGCTCGCAACCATTGCTTTGTTGGTTGGTCGTTTCTAAAGTGGTGTTGTTACCTACGTTCATGGGTGCCCTGCCTAAGGTTTAGGCCGGTGTTTCATCGCGGCCAGAAGGGTTGCTTCGTCACCCCTGTCGCGTGGGAGAGAGGAAGCTCCCACCTATCTGAATCTCAACCCTCGCCCTCACATGAACGCTACGTGCCCACCATGGGCACACCATGCACACAAAACCCTCTCTTTTTTAAGGTGACAAACATTTGTACCCCACGCAAATGAACTGCTCCACACACACCGCAGCCCTTGAGCAGCGTAGCATGCACCAACCAACCCCCCCGCGCTCAAACACTGGGCAGGTCCGACCACGAAACGTACAGCCCCGACGGATCGACAAAACGTGGCAGCCCCAGGCACAGGAGCAGCCCACGGAGCCCCCGGAAAAGCTCTCGAAGCCGGAGCCCGCTGTTGGAGTCAAGAGGGGACAGGGTATAGTTTTTTGTTTTTGTTTTCGAGCCCGTTTTTTGGACTCAAGACCGGACAGTGTAGTTTTTTTCTTTTTTTCTCAAGCCCGTTGTTTGCAGTTGTTGGATGTGCGAAGACAAGAACAAACAATGATGCAAAGTGGCTCACCGCTGTTCACATGCACAGGGTGAGCAAGGTGCTCGTGCTGCCGGGAGCGAAGCAGTTGCCGGGGGGGAGGTTGGCGGCGATGTTGCTGCCGACGGAGGTGGTGCTGGTGCGTTCGCTGAGGGAGGGGTGGCGGCGGGGCCAATCTCTCTGCTGGGGTACTTGAGGGTGGAGGTGTTTGGAGCAGAGGACCATGGGGTGGTGGATACTCAGGTGTGGTGTGGCTGCTGCAACAGTCGGTGTTTGCTGGTTTTTTTGTTTGCATGGGTGGCGCGCTGGCACGCGGGAGAGGGTATCGTTTTAGGAGCTACGGCAGCGAAGTGAAGAGCTGGTTGGTGAGAGAGATTCTGCCGTCACGCTTACAGAGTGCATTCCGCGGCAAGCATGGACAGCCATTTGTCTCTCAACGTCACCGTTTACGCTTAACCCTTGGCTGTTGGTGGACGCCTTTTTGTCGTCAACTATAGTGCAGCGCTTTCCGCGTCACTCATCGACGGACGTTGTCTGTCAGAGTCACCGTTCACCCTTTTAACCTTTGGCTGTTGTTGCTGATGCTTCGGCTCCTTCGCCTTGGCACACCACGCCCCGCCGGACAAAGGCGAACCGCACGGCTTCACCGTTTGCTCTAACTTGTTGTTGTTGTTGTTGTTGTTGTTGTTGCTGCTGTTCCGTCGCCTTGGCACGCCACGCCCCGCCGGATGCAGGCGAACCGCACGGTGAGAAATTTCCTGACGGTCCCGAGGCAGCTAGAGAGGCTGCTGCTGTTCGGCATGCTGGTCTGCCTCGACACCTTCCTGTACGTCACGACCTTCCTGCCAATCAGGATCGTCATCGGTGTCGTTTCGTCCCTCTTCTCTCTCCTCACAAGGTGCGGCTATCTACCGCGGTCGGCGGTGTTTTGCTTTTGTCCGCCCGTCGTATTCGCTGGCGTTCAACGAACGGTTTTGTTTGGTTGAAGATGTCCTAGATGCGAGTGTGCTCATGTCCGTGAGAAAGCGTGTGATATTATTTATCACGGGGGGGGAGTAGCGTGTCGAAGTTTGCGGGGACCCTCGCACGTTGGCGTGTGTGCCTGTTGGTGGGTGTAACCGGGGTATGTTGCTTGACCCCACTTCCGCAGTCCAAGTGGATTTTCTTGTTTTGTTATTCTCGTTTTGTCCACGCAGCTGACGACGACACCTGCGAAGGACAAGGGTCATGTCGAAACTCGGAGAATTGTGTGGACGTTTCCTCCCTCTGACGGACACACGAGCGGTCGATCCACTATTGTTGTTTGCCTGTTTTTTTTTTTCATGCGTCTCGCTTCCCTCAACATTCACTTGAAGTACCGCAAGAGGCAGAGAAATGGCGCCCCCGCCGAGAGCGACTTTCAAAGCTCGATTGCTCCACAACCAAGATTGTTTGTACCGTGCCGTATACCGTACCGTGGTATTCCGTAAGAGGCGGAGAAATTGCACCCCCTACGAGACCGACTTTCAAAGCTCGATTGCTCCACAACCAAGATTGTCTGTACCGTACCGTATACCGTACCGTGGTATTCCGTAAGAGGCGGAGAAATGGCACCCCCGCCGAGACCGACTATCAAAGCTCGATTGCTCCACAACCAAAGGGGTGCAGAAATAGCCTGACACGTCTACAGAAATCCTTGGACGAGATGCTTCCGAAACCGCCGTTTGTGTTGTTGGCACGAGCTCGGTTGTGAAGCAAAGGAGCTTTGAAAATTGGTGTGTATGGGTGGTAGCCACCTCTCCGCCTCTTGCCGTATCATACGAAGGAGATGAGTCGTCCTTGAATCGGTCAACAAACATGTCCGACCGCTGTTGAAGTACATAAGATACCCCTGTCGGCGTGTTGATTTGCGTGTATTTGTTTTTCTTTGGCTCTTTTCCTTCATCATGTGGAGGTCAGGATGTATGGTATATCCACATAGTACAGACACACACACACATTGATCTGTGAGGTGTGTGACATTAGATGATTGTTCTTCCGAGGACCGTCACTCTCCTGATTTCTCGTTTTATCTTGAAATTTGTGTACCGGGGACGATCTTTTTCTCGCCAGACGTAGGAGACCGTCCGTGAACCGGCCGCTGGTGTACGACTGGATGCGCGGAGCGACCTTCGCCGCCGCTCTGGGCTCCCTCCAGTTCCTGGAGATGTCCCGCGTGTACCACTACATCCGGGGGCAGGCGATGGTGAAGCTGTACGTGCTGATCGCCATGGTGGAGATCTTCGACAAGGCGAGTCGGTTCGTGCTCGGTATTCGGCTTTTACCTTGGGTTGTCGTTGTCGATTGTTTGGGTTATTATGCTGAAAATAGAGTGTAAGAAGATTTATTGGACCTTAGTCCCAAGAATAAAGTATTGAACGTACAGCGGAAGAAAAGTAAGTGTATCGAAATCGCAAAATATATTCCTATCGAGCACAAGCCTGGTTGGTTTGAATCAGACTGCCGGTGACGAAGTTGCGGCGGCGTCTTGCCGCTCCACGTGGACGTCACGCGCGGTGACAGTTCGAGAGAGCTTGCTTGGAGCAACCTAGCGGAATTCCTCCTGGCGTAGGAGTTGAGCGTGGCGGGGGGACGCAAGGCATTGTCTTTTTGGCGTGTTCCGGCGGCAGGTGCTGTCCTTGCGGACGGCGTCGGGCGCACCCGCTTTTATTTTCCACCCCATCCATGTGTCCTCTCCAAAACGTGTTTGTTTGCCATATGCACGTGAATGAATATTGTGTCTTCCTGCTTACCGCTGCTTGTGTTTTGGCGCTAGGGGCGCTAGTCGGAATGCTGCATGTTTCACGCATATGTTTCATCCGGGCTCTCACTCTGGCCGAGAGAAAAGGCGAATATGTCATCGAACCCTGTAAGCAGATGGAAAACACGCCTGGGGGAAGACACGGAGATTCAACGGGGGCGTTGCGGGCCACATTTAGGGTTGGCAAGTACGACACCTCGACGTTGCTGGGATGTCTTCGCAAGGTTTAGCGGCACGCTTTGCTCGGGGAACTCTCCTCTCTCTCTCTCTCCCTCTCCCTCTCTCTCTCTCTGGCGCGAACCCCAGACAACAGTTGTCATGCGTACTTATTTTTTGTTCGTTCGTTTGTTTGTTTGTTTGTTTGCAGCTCATGTGCTCCTTCGGGCAAGACGCGCTGGACTCGCTGTACCTGAGTACCGTGCACAAGAAGAAGCGGAGGGTGCTGGTGCACTTCACGATTGTGTGCGTGACGGCGTGCCTGCATAGCCTGCTTCTCTTCGTGCACGTCACCACGCTCACAGTCGCCGTAAACTCCTCGGACCAGGTGCTTATTTTTATATTTATTTTTCTGAGTACTTGGGGCTCCTTCCGTTGTCGATGCGGCAGATGGGTCCCAAGGTCATACAATAGCAGCTTCAGCCCGGTACAGAGGGTAAGCAGGTCTTTCTTGCTTGCTTACGACTTGGTCGAAAGCAATGGCTGACGGGAATCTTCTGGGAGACTTGCTGTGTAGCATGAACTTACGGCGTTCTCGTCACAGCTATTTAATCGGCGCCGGTTCTGTAGGCACAGGCTTTGCGGTCGTGCTCCATGAACTATAGCCCTGGACCACTTCGCGATTTCCATTCGACTCATCGCGCAACAAGCGTTAGACTCGAACTCTTGTACGAAGTGCCTGGATGAAGTTGGCTGGAGTTCCAATATAATGTCCCAAGGAACCTCGAAGTAGGTGGGTGGGACGGTGGCGGCGAAGTACCTTTCCCCGTTGGATGCAACGCTTCCTTTCGAAACTGGTGGTTCCTGGTTCGACCCCGGGCTGCCGTAGATGTTTTTTGCACCGTTCCGAACCTGTAGCCCTGACTCTATCCCTATTCTCCCCGACACGTACAAGTTGACCCAAAGCTATACATTGGAAAGCGCTACATCACAACTGTAAGCGTAAGCCTAAAGCACAGCGCAAGAACAGGAGGGGGTTAACGCTACATGTGGGTTGCTACATGTGTGAGCCTGTGCTGCGCGCCATAAATGGTGAATATCTAGGTTGCTCTACAGGCAAGTAAGCGCGGCGCGGGGCAGGTGAAGCGCTAATTGGGTTCTGTGCGTCCGTAAGCCGCGGCGCAAGAGGAGGACAAGCCTCCACAGGTTGCGGCGAGCTGCACCGACCCAACGAACGTTTTGAGAAATGTCTATTCCGACTTGGAGAACACCACTTTCTACCAAAAGCCACTACTGCTGCTTTGGTTGATGTTTTGAGCAAGGAGAGAAAGTCCAGAAAAGAAAACGTGTGCCACGTTAGAGGTCCGCCTGCCCGGGCCAGCAGGTGGCCTGTGGAAAACACGTGAATCTAATGGTGGTTGGTTGGTATTCCGTGACGGTGGTGGTTGGCCATCAGTGGTCTCCTGGTAATATGGTGGTCGGAACGCTCCTATTGTATCCATACAGAAATCGGGTTCCCTACACTTTGGATGCGCCCGCAATAAATCCTACTCTTGTAAACTACCTGCCCATCCACACTTCTAATGGTGGCGTTTTTTTTTAATTCTACCCCAACCCCCCTGAAAAATACACCACGTGTGGCGTGAGGGACACCCTCAACGTTAACGTCGTTTTCAACAGTGGCTACATGCCGTTCAGCTCATAGAACATGCGCGTCTTGACGTCATCCTTGATTGCGTTATTTGCGCAATTCTCGCTTGCCGCTCTCTTTCGTTTCCTTCATTCACAACCCTCTGGTTTTGTGAACCGCCTTCCTTCCACCCCCAGGCGAAAACATGGCATATCGCTCCGTCCCGACATTGTAGGGATGCGAGGTCAACGGTCTAACAGGGCCGTATAACACGCACAGCTGTTTTGCTGCCAATTTTTTTTAGATTCTTCATGAATTCCGACTTTGAAGATATCCAATTTTTTCGAAAAAAGTTGGAAGCAAATCGGTCCAAATTTTCGGTGCCAGCAGTCCCAAATTTCCCATTTTTTCCTCTGCCGCAAGTCGAGGTTCCATGGTCTACAGATTTGGAGGTTTGCAAGTTTGGAAGCGAAATAGCTGCTGTTTGAAACGGCCCTACCAAGTACGACGGCATGCGTTTACGTGAATTCATCCCCCCTCCACATAATTTTTTTTCCGTCGGTCCTTTTTCAGGCTTTGCTGACCCTCCTAATCTCTAACAACTTCGCCGAGATCAAGAGCTCGGTGTTCAAGAAGTTCGACAAGCACAACCTGTTCCAGCTCTCCTGCCACGACGTCGTGGAACGGTTCAAGCTGGCGCTGTTCCTGGCGATGATCATGCTGCTCAACGTGTGCCAGGGAGGCTTAGACGACCCGGTGGCGCAGGCGAGACATTATATTCTTCTTTGAAGCTTGCTGTCGTCGCTTGAACTACATGACGCGCTGCCCCATAAACACCCGGGAATTTACGATGGCAAGCTCTCTAGAACATGAAAATATCAGCCGGAAAATATGTAGACGTGACTATGAGAACAGGTACCCCGTTGATACGTCGTCACAATAGAACGCGGGGATTAAGAAGGTCAGGCCCCGCAGAACATGACCATACCCAAACTCAAAGAAGGTGACTGTGAGAACAGGTGCCCAGTTAGGGGTGGTCGCGTAACCCTACAAAAGGCGCGGCCACATAAGAACCAGGGAGCTAATTAGCGTCAAGCTCTGTAATTGTTTGAGTATCTAAACTTCGGAATGTGACCATTATTGTAGAACCGGTCTCAGTTGAGCATCCTGCACTAAGAGCCATGCTGGAATGTGGTCCTTGTTGGTTTGCCGAGCGGAAGAAACAGTAAACGATCTACGGGCAAGACAAGAGGGTTCTTGCGATAGAGGTGGAGGCGATTCCTGTATGACCAGAGCTTGTGGTATCCGTGGAGGTTAGCAGATGTGGTTCATCGGTGAAAGTTATGCAGTTAGGCTGGAGTACCAGAGCTTGCGCTGTCTGTGGAGATTTACAAGGCAGTTCCCGTTCTTGGGGGTTGTCTTGTCTTGCCCTGGATAGATGAGAGGCCGCCGCCCTCCCTGAGGCGACCGGAGCGCACCAGTGCCCTCTGGACTATAGCGGGCGAGAATTGCGCTGCCGCGTCTCATCGTTTCGTCACACCAGTTAAAAGGTCCGAACAGCAGTGTCTCGGCTCGACCATACCCGTATACGCGTTTTTGTCCTGTAAAAGTGTGGTACCTTTTTGCTTGTTCCTAAAGAGCGCATTTTTTTTTTCCTTTTTTTTTTTTTTTTCTCTGTGCAGTTTTCTGTCATCTTCGCCATGGTTTTCGGAGGCGAAGTGCTGGCGGACTGGATAAAGCACGGTTTCATCATCAAGTTCAACCAGCTCACGCCCTCTATCTACGATGAGTACTCGACGATTCTCGCAAGGTGAGGAGGCGGAGGAGGAGGAGGAGGAGGACGACGCTTCGCGAAGGGGCGCTCGGGACGTTTTTTTTTTTTTTTTGTCATCACGATTATTCATTTACTTTTTCGAAAAAAATATGTCCACGGCGGTGTGTCGTTGTACCTTCACTGCCCCATCACGAAAGAGCTGGTGCATCTGTTTTGTGTGTAACGTTAAATAGGCACCCATAGGCACGGTGATTGTACCGTTGTGTCTACACCGGCGCTTTCTCCAAAACAACCCACGCTTGTGTATTTTTCTTCGTGTCTCCATCGCTTTCGTGAGAGGAGAGAAGGAGCGAGGGCTACTGTAGCGGCGAGATCAGATGCTCTACCCATGTTTGTTCACCCACTTGGCTACCATGGTGCGTACTTCGCTATCATGGTTCGTCCAACTCGCATATGGTAGGATATGGTAGATCATGATCGTCTGTCTCAATTCTTGCTTCAGGAGCAAGTTGTCGTGTTGTGGTCGAATGTTTTGCTGTTTTTGCACCGCTCTCATGCTACGTACGCCGCTCACATGGTGAAGCACCCGCACATGGTTGCGAAACGTACGCACACCTCTCTCGGAATGTTTTGCGAGGAGTGTCCGGCGACACAATCGACCGTACGCTGCGTGCCCGCGTACCAGTTGTACTTGAAATGTTATCGTTCCTTTTTTCCTCCACGGCCCGGTTGTTGTTTTGTCAAGGTTGCCAAAGATGTACGACACCATTCGCGAGTGGTACCGCTGCCGACGTCTTGTAAACGTAGGCTTTCTGCAAGCTCTTGTTGGTCGCCTACCTTGTCCTAATGTGCTGCCCGCCACCCCCTGCTGGGCTAGCCAATCCATGATTTTTTTCTAGCCCCTAGTGTGTGTGTTTGCGAGGCATTTGTAGTCTTTTTCGTTAGCTGTGATCCCCTGTCGCCAGCCCACATGTTGCTGACGTGCCCGCCGACCTACCCAATGTGCTTGTCGTGTTTGAAATGTAATATCTTGTTTTATAGAGATGTGGCGGCGTTCCGGAAGGATGACGGGTCTACCCTCGACCACACGCACTTCGTCGCGAGACGGTTGGCGTTCGCGACGGTGCCCCTGAACTGTGTCATGGTGAGTCAGCAAGAGGGAGGGAGGGAGGGAGAGAGGGAGAGGCCGAACGGAGGAGGCAGGGCATAGCGAAAGGGCGGCAGACGGTGATCGAGAGCGAGCGAGCGAGAGAGAGAGGAGAGAGAGACAGAGAGAGAGAGAGAGAGAGAGAGAGAGAGAGAGAAAGAGCTGGGCAGACTCCCAATGTTGTTCTCTCTCGGTTGGTTGTTCTGAGTTAGTTGGAACACTTGGCGTGTTTTCGGGTTATGGTTTTTTAGGCCGTTTTCGTGTTTTCGTGTTGTTTACATGTGTGTCTGCCTTGTTATTTTTCCCCGAAGCGTCCAGATACGATGATTCCGACGTGTGCGGGCTGTCTTGCGAGCGGCCGAGATTATCGTCCAGCACATTTAGCGTTTGGTAATGTGCACTACCCCTACTTAGTCGTGATCCCATCACAGCACCCCTTCACAGGCAGCCGCACTTACCCCCCACCACCACGCGGCGCTGCGTTGTGTCGCAGATTCGATTCGTTCAGATGGCGGTACCGAAGCTGTTGCAGAGGTTACCGGATGCGCCTCCGTCTGCTCTGTGGGTTTCGGCGATCCTTTTCTACTTGATGGCACTCGCCCTCAAGGTAACTCCCCCCCGACAACGCTTTTGTACAAGAGGGATAACGCCTGTGAAGCTTTTTTCCTCGGGGGGGGGGGGGTCTTGTGCTGAAGTGGTTGACGCTACCTGCCTCGCTCGTATGAAGTTGGGCAAGAATCACGTATTTGTATCTTGTAATTGTTCACTCGCTATTGTCGTTATTTCGCTTTACACATGCGCTTACTGTAGCGAGATGCGTGTCCAGTTCGAGAGGGCATTCTAGGTGTACAGGTTGAGCAGGCGAGAGCGAGTGGCACTCCATCTCACTGCACCATCGGATACGTGGCGCATGCGGAAGCCGAAGATCGAAAATGCGAATGCGCTGCATCCTGTCATGGGGTGTCTGTTTCGTTTGCCCCCTGTATACTGGCAGTAGTCGAGTTTGCATTCTTCGTTCCTTTGAGTCGAGGTAGATTCCCGTTGTTGAAACCTACACGCAACGTATTTTTGGGAAACCCCGTGTTTCGCGTCGCCGTTGTGTGAAGGTCTTGACGGGCATCAAGCTGATGGCCGACTCGTGCACGCTGCACCCGGAGGCCGTGATCTCGAGCTCGGCGGCGGCGTCCTGGCTTCGCTCGCCGGTGCATGGCGCCCACAAGACACGGGTGCGCCGTTTATTATTGCGTGTGATTTGTGTGTTTTCTTCATTAGCATCGACCGAACTATAATAGCCGGCTGACCAATGAAAATACGTCAGTCTTGCGGGGGGATGGAAACACGAGAACCCTTTTCTAATCGGAGGGCAGTTCATTCACAGCGCCGGGGGCGTTTTCCGTCTCTTGTGGTGTGGTCCTCGTTTTGTTGTCGGGAAGTTGGGTTGGCACTGCTTTGGTCTGCTGGGCAAGGGGCCCGGTGGTGGTGACAGCCCCCGCCTCGACAGGGTTGTGTGCTTGTGTCTTTGCCCTTGGTCGGTTGCTGAGTGCACGCCGAACGCCGTTCATGGCACGCAATACATTTCGGCTTTGAGTGAGTTTTCACCGTATGTTCGTTGTTTTTGCTCTTTGTGTTGGGGGGCAGAATGAAGTCGGCTGGACCCTCAGACGGCCAAACATTGGTTGTTTTTGTCTGATGACCAATGCACTACACTTACTGTGCTAACCTGACCTTACCGCTCCTTCCGTGAACGTTTTCGACCCGTTGACCCCGCTGGAGCAGAAAGAGCTTTCGCTGGAGAAGCTGTCGACGATCGAGCGTTTCACGCTGTGGAAGGGGAGAATAGTCTAATAAATCGTCCTCCCGTGGCCGCGTCGCGACGGAGGGTACGTGCTGTGCCTCGGAGATGTGAAACCCTTCTTCGTAGGCATGGGTGAAGCCACTTCGATATTCGATGGGCATCTTCGATGGGCATCTTCGATGGGCATCTGGGGCTCTTCGTTCCGCCTCCCGGACACGTGTGGTGGCGAAGGAAGATGGCTGTGTTGGCTCTGGGGCCGCGATAGCCGATCTTTCTTCGTAAGGGGCGTGGAGCCTTTCACCACGCACGTTGATTGCCGACGGGTGGGAATGACGAAATGTGTTTGGTTCTTGGCAGCTGGCTGGTGTCGATTCGGCATATGTTTTCACGATTCTAGTGCTGCCGCCGAGGCTTGTCGGACATCACTCCCCCTCTGGGCTTGTGTCCTTGTCGGAGAGTGCAAAGCCCGTGAGGGCTAGGGGGTAGTGTGGGCTCGTTTTGGCCACGTGCATATGCCCTCGAACCCGGCCCGGCTGTTTCGATTCAACGGCATCACAGGGAGGACACAGCAACGCCTTGTGTGACATTGCTTTTGGCGCAGTTGTCGACTGGCCGGCCTCGCCAGTAACCGTTACACGTACTTCACGGTTGTAGTTCGCCGGTCGCACGAGCGACCGGGATTGTCGGGTATTGAGTCCATGATACCTGCGCTTGCTTGATAATCTTGCCCCCCCCCCCCCCGTACCTTGCGACAACGCTCGTGAAGAGCAGGGCCGTGTGTCTTCACGACGATCGTATTTATCGAAAATCGACTCGTGGGAAATCGCTCGGACCTTCGGCTCCACTGGTATACTCCAAGGGGGGAGAAGTTCCGTATATACCCACCGTACGTACCGCCTATTTGCGGGTACCAGACCTCAATGGCGATACGGCACAGCCACCCCAAAACCATCATCCATCCTCGTTGTACATCTACGTTTTTTGCTTACGCTGCTGTCCTTGTCCACCCGCACCCAAACACTCGCCGTATCATGTTTATGTTGTTCTCATTGGCATTGCCCGGTTGTGGAGCCTTTGCTGCCGAAATTATAGACTTCGATATATTGCCCTTGGTTTGCCCCTTGACTCTTGTTGGGAATTTGTAGCCACAGTCGTACGCGTCGCATTTTCCCGCGAGTAGTGGTGTGGGTCATGTTGAACGCGGGCGATTTCAGAGCAACGGGCGTTGCTGTCTGTGCGTTTCGCAGCGATGTGGCTGGACAGGGAGGTCTTTGAATCCGCCTCTCGCCGCTGTCCAACGCGATGAAAGGCAGTACTGAGGTGCTGTTTCGTGTGCGTTTTGTATGTGTTGAGTAAAGCTTGTGCAAGGCCAAGGGTACAGTCGTGTCTAGGGGGGGGCGATTGCGGCAATTTTCCTCAACCACCGAGCACGAAAAAAACGAGTCATTTCGGTGAGCGATTAGGACCTTCGGACGTTCCTGTTCTTGTGTTGGTCGACAACACACATCAGACAGCAGCGCAGTTTGTGCATCGTGTAGGCGCATGCAGGCATCAAGAGAGCTGATGCAAGCGTGCACCCACAGATGGTACTGCTGGTTACAACGGAGTATTCCTTAGCCAACTGGTCTAGACGCTGCTCCAGAGGATATCCGGGGAGTGAATGAGATGCTTACAAGGCAAGCTTGGGGGTCGCGGAGTCATGTCCGCCATCTCTCGGGTGTATTCGACCCCAGAGAGATGACGACATTCACGCACACAGAGAAGCAGCAGCAGCAACCTCGGCGAAAATACCTCAGCATAGACGAGTGCGATTCAAGGCACTATAGCGATGGGCGCCTACCGCCGCAAGCGGCATGTCTCGACCTTCCGGAAACACCTGCGCTGAGAAAGTGATTAAACTTCCAACACTTTTGGCAAGAGTCGGATAGATTGGGTGCAAGTTCGGATGAAATAGATTGCGAGAAAGTTCGGATGAACTCTAAGAGGGTGTTTTCCCTACAGTAGTGCCAAGCGTTCACCAATGCTTTGCGCGAAGCGGACAACAACGCTTGGGATCTACGCATGAACGGGACACCCGCAAGGCATGCTAGTTTGAATCGACTCAACAAATCCACGCGGGCAAGCAAGCCGGCCCACGTTTTGTTTTAGAAACAAAATTTGCAATTGTTCACTTTGAGAAAATTAGGTTGTACGCTGTCACGACCCTTCACTTCGGGAACCCTGACTCTGCACCTTTGGAGAATGTTCATCAGGACGAACCAAAATGAGGCGGCATTCCTTGCACATCGTGCTAGGACTTCAGTGGTGAGCACGAGAACATTCGGCATATATACATGCAACCGAAATCCAAAAACGCGCCTTCGCAGCTATCGTACGAGGTCGATATGTGATACGTTCATTCATGAAACTACGATGACACTCTGTTCAAAACTGACGATAAAATTGCCCACGCATCACCAAATTAACCTCGCCGAGTAGAAACGGGTGCTGAGAGAATGCTGAGATCCGACTACTGCCACCATAATCAAGCAACAAGATTCTCCGTTGTGATATATCCAGCCACCACCATACTGTAAAGATCGATCACATACGCCACGGAACAACACATGACGTCGCAATCTCCGTGTGCTAGGCTCGAAGCCGATCCCGAATGTTTCCACGGCTTCCAAGGGAGGCCTCAGAAGGTTCTAGTCCCAAATAAACGGTTCGGCGGTCACTTCAAGTGCTACTTGTTTAGTACATTCTTCCAAACAATCTTGATCGGCCTACACCTACGCACAGAACACAAGGAATCGGCTATGTAGAAAAAAAACGTTCATCAATGCTTCTGCATTGCCCCGTGCCCCGTCTTCTCACGCCATTCCGATGGTCTCCTCGAAAGCACCCCAAGACAATCGGACGGCCACGCCGTCGTTGGGGGGGGTGAACCGAATCGCTGGGCTCCCCCGATGCATCTTGTCGTGCCGGCTCTTGGGGCCCTGCATTGGCCGCAAAAAACTGTCGTTGGACCAGGACGAGTGTTAGGCCGCAGGAATGTCCATTCCCCGCGCGAACAAATAATTTAAGTTCAATAGTAAAGCAATACATATGTTTACTGTATACCGCTAGCCATAGCAACGAATTGTCTCCGTGGCCTCCTTGCGAGCGTCTTGGCCGCCCTTTTGGAGGTACTGTTTTCGCCAGCGGGTGGTAGACATCCCGGGGTAGAGCACACGGTGGGCCGGCCGTGTGCAACATAGCATAACACGGGGTGCGGACGAGAGAGAGAGCGAGAGAGCGAGAGAGAGAGAGAGAGAGAGAGACAGAGACAGAGAGAGAGAGAGAGAGAGAGAGAGACAGAGAGAGAGAGAGACAGAGAGACGGACAGAGAAATACCGAAACAGAGAGCAAGAGAAAGAGAGAATAAGAGAGAGGCAGACAAAGCGAAAAAGAGCACGACACAAACGGCAACACGGGAGAGACAAAAGGGGCGGGGAGTGGGCGAGGGGCACGCGAAGGGATGTGTCAACGCCAAAGTAGCCAGGAGAAGCGGACACGACGCACAGAAAGCAAAGAAAGTACCAGAAGCAAGCGAGACGATTGCGGCTGGAGAACACGAGAGTGTGGGGATGGAACACCGGCGACGTCATTGGGTAGGCGAGCAAGCTGAACCGGAAGGCACACCTTCCGATAACGAACTCGACATTTCTTCGAGGAAACACAACGATAAGGAGGGCGAAGTCGTGGATACTACAGGTAGGGTTGGATGGGCAGGAGTCCGTAGCCAGACGGAGGGGCTCAGCGCCAATTTGACGAGACATGGTATCGAACAACGGCAAAAATAAAAATCGCAAGCGCGCGGGGGGGTGTACTCATAGTCGTGTATGCCGTAGTCGTTAGACCATTGACCTCGCATCCCTACACAGCCGGGACGGAGCACGCCGGGTTCTCACCGGACCAGGCTCTCACATCACCAAGCGCGAAGCGCCGTGAGGTATTCGGCGAGTCGCATGAAGGGTGAGCTGCATCCTGCTAAGGGTGTTCGGCATCTTGTGCTTACTTCCTTGCGTACGGATGACAGCTGCGTATGACTTAATTTATTTTCTGGTGCCTTAACTTCCAGAGACAGTTGGAAGCACTGTGTAACTGCCTCGAGGATGCTTGACCATTTTAACACAACGTGGTGCGATCATCCCCCTTGCGCGGAGTGAGGGTTCTCCACCCCGCACAACATGATCTACTCGACCACCATTATTGTTACTGCCCCCCCAAAAAAACAGAGGTAAAAAAATAAAGCGGTAACCTGGTTGCCGAGTTCAAGAAGTGAATTGGCTTGTTTGACAACGTCGTTGCCAAGCGACGAAAACCCAACCCCGATGGCAAACACCGGGGGGTGGGGGGGCGCATATAGCTAGCTTGCCGCGTGCGGGTGTTCCACAACCCCCCCCTTCCCCCCCCCACAAAATGCACCAACCACCCAAGCAGTTTTCAGCGTCAAGCACAGCCGGTAGGGGCGGCTTGGGGTGTCACACCTGCTGATGCTCGTCCTCGGCGTCGTAAAACTCTCGGACCTCCTCGAGCTCTGTCGCAAGTTTCTTCAAGCGTCTTGCCGAGATTTCGTCCGCGAAGAACTTCTCCGCTACCGCTTTCTGAGAGCCGCCGGAAAAAGTAGAGAGAAAAAAATCAGACCAAATAAACAAGGAGACAGTGAGGGATGAAGAGGCCACGAAAGTGGTGGGGAGATTTGTATCGCGAGCCCAGCAGAGTGAACAAAACACGCGCGCGCCGGTGGCAGGGCAGTGAAATGCGTGCCAGAAAAAAGGGAAGTGAAACGTGTGCGTGTGAGCAAGGGGAGAAAAATGTGCAAAAGAGACAAAGGGAAGCGAAATATGTGCATCAGAAAACGGGCAGTGAAATGTGTCTTAAGAGGAAAGGGCAGTGAAAACGTGCGGAGGGAGTGAAATGTATGCTGGAGAAATGCAAAGTGAAACATGTTTGAAGAGCTGAACTTATAGGGAAAGGGCAGCGAAATATGTGCAAGAGAAAATGGACAGCGGATCACGTATTAAGAGAAATAGTATTTGTGAAAGTGTGCAAGCGCAACGGAGAGTGAAATCTAATGAGAAAAAGGGGGAAGTGGATATGTTCAAGAGAATAGAAAGTGAAATGCGGTGTGAAAGGGAAAAGGGGGGCGACATGTATGTAAAGGAGAAGGGCAGTGTCTATGTATAACAGGGAATATAGAAAAATGGCAGTGAAATATGTGCACGAACAGGGGCAGTGGATTCTGTAAGCGAAATACGGGCAATGAAACGCGTGCAAGAGAAAAAGGGCAGTGGAATACGCTCGAGAGAAAAAGGGGAACATCACCCAGCGAAGGAAAAAAACGTGTAAACTGATAGAAGCAGGCGGTGAACACGGTGGGTCAGGCAGCCAACGATATTCACAGCGCCGGTCGCGGGTGCCGTGGAAAAAACACGACGCAATGATGTGAGATACCGCTCACCGCAGGGCCGGGTTCTGAAACATCGACTCCCGTATGCGACACAAGAAAACATCCCCCCTGGACCGATTTTCAAAGCTCGATTTCTCCACGACCGAGAGGACGCATAAACCCCGAGAGGTATCGACCAGAAGGCTTCAACGTCGCCGTTTTCGGCACCCCCACCATTATTGCTGTTGATAAATCGAGCCTTGAAAATCGGGCCAGGGGGTGTGTTATCTTGAGTCGAATACGGTACGCCACGACGAAGAGGGTGCCGCGACCAAGTGACACGAATTGTGAAAGCTCTTGTCGGCAATTCAAAATTACTTTGATACTCGTCTGCGGAGTTTTATGTAGAGCTTTGACTATCCGCCAAGGGCGGTGTCACGAAATCCCGGGGATAATAGTCTTCAATTCACACATTCCTAATCGGGGCAGACAGGCCGGCGAACTTGGATGTGGCTCGTTTACGATCCCATTTGTTAAGAAACCCTTTTCGCCGGTCTCGGTGTGTTTTGAGCGTACCCAGCAGCGCGGGGACTGCCTACGAAACGAAAGAAAATGTACAATACTGCGAAAAAAGACCGGGCAGACCCTGACCCTACTCCAACTTAGCCGGTTTTAGTTTTTATCCAGCATGTTTGCTTACTTACAAAAACCTGCGTAGACTAACGGGTATGTCTACGCGGCAAAGCAGACAGGCCGCCGGTGCTGCCGACTCTGCTAGGCGGCAAACGCAACCGACAACACCAACGAACTCCGTAGCACCGTCTCCCAACCCCATCAGCAGGAGCAATTGGACGCGACCAAACCCACCCAGATGGGGTCGGGACAACATTATAGAGGCACCTCTGGCAAAGTAGGTAGCAAGGATTGGCCGTCGGTAATCTGTGGTGTGGCAACAACGCTCCGTTCCCTCGAGGGTGCGTGGTCAATGGCCTAAAGTATGCAAACCGTTAACTAGAGTACGCCCCCCCAAGTTTGTTTCCCCGCACACCTGTTGCTCGTCGTGGAAGTACACCCCGGCCCTGTACTGGGTGCCCTTGTCGTTGCCCTGGCCGTTAACTTGGGTCGGGTCATGCCTGCCGAAGAAGATAGTCAGAAGGTCCGCGTACTTGGTCTCGGAAGGGTCGTACAGCACCTGTCGGCGGTAGGCGTGACAGCGGGCAGGCACCGACACGGGAAAGGCATCAAACCGCCATGCAGGGCGGAGAGGTACCAGTATTGCGTCATGATCGCATCCTTTCTCGCGTGTCCACATCATCGGAGGTCCGCAAATCACAGGCTTTTTTCTTCGGTCGCACCGGACGAACGGAAGAAATGGTGGTGATCTCAACGAGATATGTTTTCGCCGTGGATACCTTGAGGCATTCCCAGAATGAACCAAAAATGAGCAAAACACAACTCGATGGGGGTGTTGCATACTCCGATGAAGAAGAAGATGAACAAATCTAATCAAATGTTTTCTGGGCATCAAAGATTTTTTCCCACAGAGACTGTGGGGGCTAGCATCTCCCTTGCGCAGGGGCCTCCTGGCAAAAATGCGGTCACCGTAGCTGTCTTAGTGAATTAGACAAAAAAAATGCGTAACCAAACCAAATAGAATGCACGAGAACTGCCGCAGGAAAAAATAACAACATCATCGATCACGCAGACTACGACGACCACAAACAACAACAGCACACCTGAACGGCTTCCGTGTGTCCAGTCTTTCCCGAGCAGACCTCGCTGTAGGTCGGGTTCTTGACAACGCCCTGGGCGTAGCCCGCCTGCGAGCGCAAGAGCGAGCGCGGAGGACATGTTGTTGCCCACGCTAGTCGCAGCGCTGGTCGTATTTAGGAACGAACGATCGCTTGCACGGCACAGTTCGAGCGGTGGGAAGAACGGCAATCCCAAGCGCACTAGAAAACCTTCCCAAGGGCAGCACGTCTGTTCGACTGCAAAACCCAAACCACTCGGGAGCGGCTAGTGGCCACAGTCATGGACAACAATCACAGCAGCGGCCAAAGCTCAAGCAGCCTTATGTCGGCGTGCGTGAGAGGCTTGATCGTAGGAACCGACACGATCGACAAAAAACAAAAAAAAAGGGCTTGCGTTGAAATCATCCTCGAGATCCCAGCGCGGCGTGTGTGTTGATGAATGAACCTCACGCGAACCAGGGCGAAAAAAAATGGTGGAGCTTCTTTGGACTGTCGAAACTATCCAGCCCCACCCACCCAACCCGGGCCCCTTGGCTCATTCGAACGCCATTTCGAAAGAAAACAGCGCGAGTTTCGGGCAAAAAAGGCCCAGAACGCGCGACGAGCAAGACAAGACATGATGGAGGCGCTTCATGTATGGAAGCATACCAAGACCGGAGGGGCGCATATCCACTTGGAAGTCTGTACCTTTATGGCACCACCCCCTTGGCTCGCTGGAAGACCAGTCAGTCCAAAAGAAAAAAGAACGGGCTTCGCAGGATAAATCGGTAAAGATTACGCGAGGAGGAACCAAGAATTGCCTTGGTGGGCACCACTCCCTTGGCTCGATGAAAAAGGCCAGTCAGTCCAAAAAAAAAGAAGAACGGGCTTCGTAAAAGAAGGTCACAGCACGCGACAAGCTTCATACAAGCGGGTTGCACATCCATTCGCACGCACTGCTGTACCTTGGTGGACACCACCCCCTTGGCTCGCTGGAAGGCCAGCTCGAGCCCCCAGAAACATCCTCCCGCGAAGGTAGCCGTCTTGAGGACCGACTCCGCCTTCGCCGCCTCCAGCACCTTAACGTCCATCACCTGCGGCGAGAAAAACAAAAAATCATTCGGAGGAGGGTGTAGGCCCGCAACATGCGAATGGACCCATGCCACGTCTAGGACCGCAGCGGTGGGGAACGTATGCATGCGACTCCGACCGGGTTTCCTCCAGCACCATTGTGTCGACCACAGGTCACCGAGGACAGCGCGGTCGGTCGACCAATCAAAAGACGACATATCAATGCCCCGACCAACAGGCGACATAACAAGAACACAACACAAACAAGTACGCGTAGCCCCTGTTAATAGTCGTGACTACGCCACGTGCCCGTAGCAAGGGATACACACAAGGGACATACAAAAGTTTGAGACGTTTAAGCTTTCGCCGTTCTGTCAACAACCTATATATCTTCGTTCTCGAGAGTGGCTTCGTGTCTGATTGTTGCAAAAAAAAACACCTTCGTTTTCCCGGCGGCCTTTTTACACCAAACGGGGTCACCCCTAAAAAAGATGGCAAAAACGCACACCACCCGTAGACGGACCTCTCATCTTTTTCTCAACCCACCGATATACCACGCCACAGCAACTTCTTGAGAGTGACCTCGCGTGTATTAATGTTTGCGGAAAGCCTCCCCCCCCCCCGTGGACACCAATGCAGTCGCCCGTCTTTTGAGCGTTCGACGGAGGATTGGCTTTCTCGACCACGGACTTGCATACATGGGGATGCGAAGGTGTCCAAACCCCTACAGAGTGAGACACACAAGATAGCCGTTCGATCAAGGTCAAGCAACAGGTGTATCATCCCGAACCCTCCATGCAGTCCACTACACGCACTACAGTTAACCATCACACACCAGGGACGTGCCCGCCAGGTCCGGGTTCCAGTCAATCTTGAAGCTCTCGCCCGACATCTCTGTCACGGTGGCCTTTTGCCCCGTCCACAGCTGGAGCTGCGCACACACAGTTCGAACAAGTACATAAATTGAGAGGGCGGGCCGGGGCGGGGGGGTCACTCGTAGCCGCGCATGCCGCAGTCGTTTGTGTTTTCATGTAAACGCATGCCGTAGTGGGTAGGCCGTAGACATCACATCCCTGCAATGCCGGGACGGAGCGATATGTCCGGGTTTTCGCCAGCCCAGGCTACCGCTTCAAAAGGATCAACCCGAAAGCTGGTCATCCACCCTTGCCTTTGTTGTGCCAAAACCAACTCTTCACAGCAGCATGAACCGAAATTGTGAACAGCTGGGAAGAACTGCCACACACTATTTCAGCAAGCAATATTTCAATCGAGGAGAATGCACAAAATGCGGCAAAATGAGTTATCGCTTCAATAGTGGGGGGGTCTTTGTCGATGTAGGGCCGCAACACACGTCACGATGCTGGAGTGCCCGACCGGAGCATGAAGTTGTCGGGGAGAAACGACTGCCATGACATAAAACGGTCGGATACCGGTTTTTGTCGTTTGGGTATCATAGACTGCCTAAGCCACGGCGGCTCGTTTCGATCTGCGGACCCCCCCCCCACCCCGCGCGCGCGCAAAGACCACAGGACACAACAGCGGCTAAAAGAAAATGATAGGACGGAGGCGACCATAAAATACAAACTACAGCGGAACGCGCAAGAACGGCGCCGAAAAGAATGAAAATTTCGAACAGAAGCCCTCTTGGACCTCGGACGGACTAACTCTCGGCACACGCTCGACACTTGATTGGAGTGGCCGCACCGGCGATACGGCAGACGGTTTGGACAAAAAAAACGCGCACACAAAACGTTCAGCGACAGCAGCAGCGACACTCTCGACGAAGCTGCCACAAAATTCCATGCGTGTGCACGCATGCTCGGCCGTGCCGCCGAAGACGGTTACGGTGGGGCCCAGACGAGACGGAGCAAAAAAACGAAAAAGCCGCCATATTTGGTACCAAAACCTCTCACCACGGTGCCGACGCTTATGTCTCCCGGGGCAGAGTCCATTCCGAGCGTCGCCGTCAGCTCAGGGTCGTCTGTAACGGAGGAGCACGGTCCGAAAAAATGGTACCCGGATCAGCGTGCGGCCGAGGTAATCCAAGAGGCGGGAGAGCGCACATCGTGGGGCGAACGAAGTGACCTCTTCCGGCGAAACACGCATAAGATGACGTGACGAAAAGGCAGTGCGGTGACCCGCTGGGGGACTGCGTGCAAACACAAGCAAGAGAGAGCACCGAGCTTACGGGGTCGTGCGCAGACGACACAGCCCCGCGCCAAAAACATTAGTGACGGGTTTGAGAGGGATGACGGCACACCAAAACGAAAAAAACACAAACGCGGCCACGGCGAAAGCGCTTCCACATACAGCAGTACCGTGCAACCAAAAAAACACCATCACCCAGTAAAGGGGCTACGCAGAATGCAAGGGCTTTGGCCCCGGCGTCGAGAAACGGCATATACACCGAAGGTTGGGTAAGATACCATACCCCGCCGGACCGATTTTTCGAAGCTCGGATACTCCGCGACGAAGATGATGCCAAAATCAGGCGTTTTCGGAAAGCTCTCGACAAGGAGGTTTCAACGCAGCCACCATCGGCACCGTCGTTAGAGCTTGACCAACCGAGCATATGAGAAATCGGTTCACGGGGGTGTTCTATCTTACGTCATGCAGGCTACGGCATAGGTACACCTTTCGGCCGACCCGGGTCTCACATTCCCCGAAGGCGTCTTTCGGCGGGACCGTCACTTCCTTTTCCTCCCCGGGCTCCATCTTCAGGACGGCGTTGTGCAAGAACGGGGCGAAGCCTCCCCCGCCCACCACAAGCTTCACTCTCCCCTGGTCAAGCGGTCCAGACAGAGGGTCACAGCGAGTGCGGGTGGGCGTGTCTCCGAGCCGAGACCATGGGCGCAGACGCCGCCGCGGGCCACCGGCGCTGGGTTGCAGCTAGCGCTCGGGGGAGGGAGAAGCTAGCCGAACGGGGTAGAAACATCATCACTCCCACGAGGGAGAGTCACAAGATTGCAGGAAGCACAGCGGTGACAAAAAACAAAAAACAGTGTTGACATTGACGCGCCGACGCGTACGGCAACGCACGTCAGCGATCGAATCCACCACCACTAAGACTGCGAAAAAACATAGAAACTCGTGCATCTGTTGGGAGCACAACCATGAGCGCGCTGTGTCTACTACTACATCAACACGACGCCGAAACTAGTGCTCAAACCGTTTCCCCAAGGCCAGTCATGTTCCTTCCCGAGCAGGAGACTTCAACCCAAACTTGACGGGACCAACAAATAACCAAGTGATCCCGAATTAGTGATAAGGTTGTTCCGCTTCTTGCATGCCCATGTAATGTGTGGACTAGAGCGAGAATGTTGGCCACCATGCAATTGAGGTTCGTTATCAAGAGATTGCCGTTCTCAGCCTCAAAACTCGCAACTCTACCGGTCAAAGCGGGCTTCGAACGGCGAACCACCCCCCTGGCCAAGCAGGAGAGCATGACCACAAACTGTAACAACTGTTCCCGAATACCGGGTCAACCCGAGCCTCGCAGGACGGACCATCCTCGTTGCCAAGCAAGAGGAGTACGGGCCAACCACAAGAGAACCACAACCAACGACTGCTGTACCCGCTGACCTGGTCAAACCGTGTCTCGAAGGGCGAGCCATCCTCCGTTCTCAGCGAGTACTCCACCCCGGCCACGTCCCCGACTGCCACCATCGACAGGCACCTGCGCCTCTCCTTCGTTCCCCACCCGGACGCTTGGAAAACACAGCCCGGACCACCCTCCCACCGCGGGTTCATGCTCGCTCCACCTGGGTACAAGTTACAACGCCGATGGATCAGCAAGATGGACCATGGGTTGTTGGCGACCCTTGGGCATGCGCGGTTATGTACCGACGGGTCCCTTGAAACACAGCAGCTTTCGTAGTTGATGGTATCTCCGTCCTGCTTGTGACTGGTGTAGACGATGGGCTGGCCGCACATCGCGAGCAGGCTCGGGCGGGCCCCCGGAGCGCGACGCAACCATGTATTCATGCAGGCCCGTTTGCTGTCTTCCTAAAACAACAAGTAACATCGTGCTCCGTCCCGGCTTTGTCGGAATGCGAGGTCAAAGGTCTAACGACAATGGCAGCACGGTTATGAGTATCCCCTCCCCCCCCCTCTCTTTCGTTTGGAACACGTCTACTGCCGACAAGCCTTAGCCCATCGGGCGACACGCCAATTCTCCTCGGGAGAACCAGCATGCGGGGGGGATGTACATTACCATAGGGTGTGGGGCGGTGCAGCGTTTTTCTTCCCCAGTTCCTTTCGGAGGGACGAGCAAGGCGCCATGCACCACAGATGCCGGTGATCGTGGCAAAAGAGAAGTACAGGGTAGACGCACAATCGGGAGACTTGGCCTTTTTCTCTTCGCACCAGGATGCGTTTTCTCGCGCGCTGGCGCGTTCGTCGAAAAGTGCATCGCAGTCGTTCTCCGCGGAGAAAGACGGAGAGTCCTTTGGCGCGTACACCGACATCCGTTGACAAACAGCATGCCCAGGGTGCATGCTGTCTTTGTGATACTACCTAATATTGGTGTGAGTTACGGCCGTGCTCTCCCCTGCGGTCTGCGCAACAAACACATATATCTGTTCTTGTCCATCATCCATCATCGTCATCGCCGCTTGGAGAAAAACGTAACGTTCAAATAGTGTCACGGCCGAAAAGCCGCCGCTGTGTTGAAGTTTGAAACATGACACCGTTTACTTTTTTGTTCCATTACTTTCAATCCGCGCGTTTCTGCTGGGTAGGCGCTCCGTTGTCACACAGGAGAGTTCCTCTCCCTGGGGCTCTCCCTACCCACCCCTCCTGCGAGGTGCTTGCCTTTCTTCGACTGCTGTTAGCGCGAGAAGAGTGCAGCGCTCTCTTCCCTAAGTGACTTCCTTAAATAGTTTCCTCGTCAACAGCAGTAACTTGTATTCGTTGTTGTACTGGCATCAGGACCATAATACATGTACTGCTGCCCATCTGGGCTGTTTCCCAGCGCGCACAACTCCCTGCAGAATGAGGGGTGGGATGAACTGTACAAGTCCACCTACCAGCCCCGATTGCCTTTAGGCATGCCCGCCAGCTCTGAGTTTCCAGCAGCGACAATAAAGTCCAGCGTCGCACAGATTGGTCGCCTGCTGCAAAAAACCGTGCTGCGGCTTCCATCAGAACAATTGCCCAGAGGTTCAATCAAACACAGCGGTAGCGGTAAAAGAAACCGATCTACCGTAGGGGAGGCACACCCTCTCACCGCACCATATACAAGTAGGAGAGAGCGAGAGAGAGCTGGACGAAGAACAAAGCGGTGACAAACAATGGTTACCCCCACCACCAACAGACAGATGTTGTTCCCGCCTGGGAAGCACGCAAGCGCACCTGCCCCGCTGGCGATAGCTCTCCTCATGCCCGCCGTGGGCGTTGGCGCTCTCACGAACGACGCAGCCCGCCTCGCAAGCACCAAAGCGGCGATGCTGCTCCCGACCGCTGCGGTTTGCTTCCAGCCCATTACCTCAGAGCTACGTAGGTTACGTATGTCGGTGTTCGTACCACACGACTCACCGCTGCTGTACCCGGGTTTCAACGTTATTGTTGGCGGAGGGAAGAACAAGAGGCGGGGTGTCAGAGCATACAATTCGGTACCCGCACCGTCCACTTGCCTCTAACTATTGCCCCCCATTCTTTCACCGTGCCGTAAGTCTCACACCCACGCACGATTGAAGTGTGGGGATTCGAGGGGCGATGTGGCCAAGCTGCTTTGGGGTGAAGGGGGAAGAGTGGGGATGATGTTATAGAAGATGCGGGAACTGTTGTTTGGTTGGCGGGGAGATTACTTACGGTTCGGGTTGAGCCATGTGTCAAGATTTGGTTCTTCTCTACTCCTTCACTGTGCGGTTCCCACTTACAGAAAGACAATGTCACACCTTTGCACGGACTCACGTATCATCTACTGTATATCAAGGGGGTCTTCGTCTTCACTTTGTTGTATGTACTACACAATTGTATTCCCCTTTTCTCCAAAGAATGGAATCTTGATATTTTTTGTAAACCGCCGACCCGTCTCCCACTTCGCCTCTCTGCTGAGTTACCAGAGAACACACACCCAACACACTTTCACGTCTCCTCGTGCTTCGATACATACTGATCTGCACCACCATCAAGACTCGTGTTACGAACACTAAGAAGTGCCGATCTGGAACTCCGCTCCCTGTAGGTGAGAAGTCCCTGGACCTGACCGCGTTCTTGTTCGTGCCGTCTGACGATAAAACTTGTAGACTCCACTATAAGACGCTGACCCTAGACACACTGACCGAGGATCACCTTGACTCAAGAGATGGCCGTACCCGCCGCCCGTGCTTGTGATAAAGCTCCCCCGTGTCGTCTTGAAAACGCAGCGAGACTCTCATGCCTCGCCTCGTATGTCTCCGGCATATATGTAGTCTAGACCGTCGTTGGATCCCCGAGTTTTGGGTTGTTGCGCGTACGTACACGGGGTTGAACCGAGCACTGCTCTGCCATAATGGACGCCTTGGTACTGTCCAGGAAGTAGGCTGCAGGAAATGCCCTTCCTTCTCACAAGAGTCGGGATTCATGGACGAGCTAACCTGTCTAAATAAACCCTTGCTGCAACCGGTGTTGGCAAAGGAAAAAAATTGCGCTGGTGGTGTTGTGCTCACGCGTTTTGTGTCAGAATAATTCCCACAATCAATATCCAATCTTTGCACGGCGTCTCCCGTACGCAGCGTGGCATCACATATAATGGCAGCTGTTGTCCGAAGTTTGCCTGGCGGCTCTCACTTTCCTGCCGCTCAATCACGACAGATTTGAAACGATTGTTCTGCCCTACATGAGGGACACCCTACATGCAGAACACACGAACGAACATGCTCCAGTGCACACGCATACTGTAGTTGTCTACCTGTTGACAGCCAGCAGCTCACAGCAGCGGGATGAGGCCCTATTCAAGTACCTGGTTCTCATGATGGAGTAGCTGAATCCCAGTGCGGCCAGCATGCCGGTTCGCAGTCCGACTTTACGCGCGGCATTGTAGCCTGGCGGATGCCGTATGTTTTCGCGTGCCAGCGTCCCCTGATATTAAGCTGTTGGCAATCGGGAACGAAGGGCCCCCAAAGATCCAATTCTCCTTCGGTTTCGTTTTTGTTTGTGAGGTGAGATGAAGTCGTTTCCGCCGTGGGACGAACTGACGACAACACAAAAACAACCACAGCATCAGCAATCGAATTCTTTTATTCGTTGTATGGCATATGAATAAATAAATTAACAGCAATTTGTACCCAGAGTAGGTGTAAACATCAGGCGCCTTCTACAAAGAAAGTCGGTCGCCCCGGTCATGTAGTGGTTAACCTGGCATCCTACGTGTAGCAGGTTTGGGTTGAGTTTTCTTTCTCGAGGGTCTTCTTTGCCCACGAAAACCAATACTTTGTAGTTTCGTTAGTAAACACACTCCGACTTCACGGTCGACGAGCGATCGGGAATGCTGAACCCTTCTCTCGAAACATTCTTCGACTCTCTGATATTTTCGAACGGGTAGTCTATGAGGCATTGCTGTGTGGCTTTCCTCTCCGGTTGATGCGTCAAATATGTACACGGAGAGGTGTGCAGACTGGCGCCAGAACCAATGTGTCAAACACAAAACACATTGATGACTTCCTTCTTTGCCGCCATCACCTTCTCACCATTTAAAGTTATGCTTGTTCAAAACCCGTCGCCCTCAGTTACACCACGGCTTGCACAACGCGTTGTACATCTCCTCCGATCCGGGGCGAGAAAAAGAGCTAATCTTGGGACACACAGCAGTACGCCGGATTATCGAGACCCCTTCAAGTCTATTCGTGCACTCCGGCTGGACGGCGAGGAAGTATTTCTGCGAATATGGCGTTGAACATTGAGGTCACAGGATCCATAGTCGTGGCCCTAGTGGTGGCGGGAATCATCAGAGCTGCGTATACCATGGTTGCGACCCAGGTACGCAGGGTTTCTTGTATGGCATTCGTCGGTCGCGTATATCTTGCTTGCCGACCAGCAGACAACCAACAAAGAAATAGTTTCAGCTGAATGGTATTCTGTCATTTCTCGCCCTCCTACATATTCTAGGTGCCAGTACACCACTCGGTGTAAGTTTGACGCATCAGTCAGGGTTGCACACGAGACATATTGCCAAATTCCTCTTACAGCGTGATTCGTTCTATTTTCACCGCAAGAGAGCATGCTTGCAGATCAATATTTTGTGATGCAAAGGATCAGACGGGAAAGGAGCCGGGGTTCTTCATCGAAGGACTGATTTGTTGAAATCAGTGAGGAGAATTCACTGAGAAACGTCAATGCCGGGGACGCAATCCAGGTAACCGGTATAGTGGGTCTCTGGCTGCAGAGCTCTCCGTCGGGAGCGTTGACGACAACACCTCTAACTTGATCACATGGCTTGGTTGGAATTTTTCAACCCCACGGTTCGACAGAACTGTGAGACAGGCGGACAGAACAGCTTCGATGCCATCCCGTAGCTCCTTTCCTTGCTGCTTCTGTTCAAATGGTCTCGCGCGGTGATGCTCTCAGGATCCCAGGTGAGCAGCGAAATCTCCCTGTATACATGCACGACTGTACTAAACAGGAAGGGTGCCCCCCCCCGCCCCCCATGGGCGGTAAGGCCCATGAACGATGCTGGCGAAGCACTGCATCAGTAAAGTTGAACAGGGTAGTCGTACGATGTGAAGACCAACTTGTGGATGCTGATTGCAAAAAACGGTGGTCGAGAGTCAACACATGGCATGCTTGACACGTCAATGAAAAAATTCGGAGGTCCACGTTCTAGAAGAGGCAGACGCAACATCTGGGTATGTGCGCGTGAAATCTGTGCCTGATCAAGAACTTGATATCATCCAGACAATGCGCGTGGTGGTGGCACGCTAATATTGCAGTGTTTGTGGACCCCCGCAAGTTGCGTGTGGAATGCAAGCTCGAATGCATGTTTGAATGTCATTTTCTTATGTAGATCCGATCATCTAAATATGGATACCTGATTCACCACCCCCATTGCGTGGTTCTGTGATTTCCACATGGAAAAGCTAGCTGCTGCCGAAAGAACGACCTGGGGCTTGGAAACCCTGCTGGAGCAGCTCAATATCGGACGGACGCAAGAGAGAAAGCAACTGGTAACCTCGTGCATGCCTTCGCAAATACGGTTCACCCTCCAAAATGACGCTACAGCTTTCATAGCCACTGGCTATCACGCAAGAATATTTCGAAGTGTGCAGTGCACGTGTTGGAGAAAGCAGAAACGAAGAATATGCAACACTAGGGATTTGCCCCGGCTGACCGTTCGTGTCGTTTTGGGTTTCGATCGTTTGCTGTTGCTCCGCGGAAGCCATGATGTTTGCTGAAGTATTCTGTCATTGTTCTTGTCGTCCGTTCAGCACTCATCAATGGTTCCACGCAAAGTACTTTCGGAACAGTTGACCCGAAATCAGTTCGACAGGGACGACGACAAGAACGATATGAATCCCCGGCATGTTTTCACCATTAATTCTGATGAGGTGGCTCGCAAGGTCATGTTCATACTCGTGCTGTTGGTGCATGGCTCCTCGCACCTCCCTTTCCACACCATGACAGAGGCCTTACATGCACACACCAATTTTGATGCGGTTAGGTTCGTAACCCCCCTGGCCCTAATTTGATGGCTTTTCCTGCTGCTTCCGAAGGCCTTGGCAAGGAGAAACACCCTTCTGCTGACCACTGAATTGGCCACTACCAATGAAGAATACAACATGGACAGATCGACCTTGGTGAGTCAACAACATGACGACGAATTTTCGCCGTGAATGAATATAAAGTAGCAGACCCGGACTCGACGATGCAGCGAGTCACAAGGAGCCTCTCCACGCCATGGAGAATAGATGTTCGTCGAATAGGAGAGTCCACCACCAGTGGTCGCGTACAAAGATGGTCACCAGCCTCGGGAGTCCCTCCTCCGGCAACAGTCTAGAATGAACACAAGCACAACGTCGGGGACAGTTTGATGTTGGAGACTAGAGAGAACACAAGGACAACATCGGGGATAGTTTGACGTTGGAATCGCAATTCCTTCACACAACTTCAACCCGACAATCACCAAATTGTTTTCCATCGTTTTTCTTCCAGCTGACGAAGCTCGTTGCGGCGGAGAAAGCCACCGAAGAGGCGGAATCCAAGCTAAAAGCCATTGTGGCAGCTGACAGGCAACTCCGCGCTTCCAAGCTGGAACTGAGCTCCGCCAACAAGGCGATGGCCAATGCAGAGGCAGAGCTTCGGGGGAAGAGGAACCCAATCTTCTCTGCGGCGGAGACAGTGGAATTCACGCAGGTGACACGAGCATACACCGATTTCGTGCTCGTGATTTAGATATGTAGAGGAAAGGCCGCTATTCGAGGAAAGGGTAGGCTGCCTTTGTTGACGTGGTCGTAAAGGAGATGCTCGGAGAGTTTGCAGTACAGGTGCGGCCAATTGTCCCTACAGTCGGGCGCGTAGACACGCCTCGAACGTGATGTTCTGAAGGCCAGCACGCACGATGTCGGTGCCCTTGCAACTCTTACTTCGTCACACTCTTTGGGTGCGCGATGGCTTCTGCATTGCAGGTGAACGATCATTCTTGCACGAGGGCACTGCACTCAACCAAGTATATGGCGCATGAAATATGTATTATAGTGAACATATTCAACAAGATGATTGGCCACATCATCGAACAACTAGTAGAGCAATTCCTCCCTGTGCGATTTCCGTGAGCAGCATGGTGGGTCGTGGGAACTTGTTGAGGAGAACGTGGCGAGCATTCGCAACACGACATTCCGCGCCGCAACCATCGCGGTGAACAGGCCATGTTTGAAGATTGCGGCCTAAGAGGTGGATTTATCGAGGTGAGGCACGCGCCTTCGTGCTTGAATGCTCAACGTTTCATGCTTTGGTGCACTCACTGCGTTACAAATGTCCGTTGGACCCGATTCTCTTGTGGACGAGACTTGACATATTGCCGACGAAATCTGGGTATGTTCGGATACTGAGACGATTATTCACGGCACCGTTTGCCACAATATCACTTGCCGCGATTTTTTCGCGAAATAACTGTCGTCGATTGCGTCGGAAAAAACATCGTGTCGCTCTCGAGTGAATACTCTAGTATGAATATTGTTTCGAAGCGATGGCTGAGAATCTGACACGACCCTCTTGCCGTTTCAATGCCGATGGTCACCCCGGCGTGGGCCCCAAATTCATCACTGTGTGACACGCCCTACCGTAACGTGTCCGAATGTGCCAGCGACACGGACACCCTGGATCTCTCGAGAGGCGGGCGGTAGAAGACTTGCGTTACTGGGACCTGGCAGGGGGCGTCGGGCACAAAAGAGTCAAAAGGCAGAGCAAATGAAGGGCAACCCATCGTTTCTTTTGGATGGACGAATGTGGATGCACGAGCGAATCCAACCGGCACCGAGCGACTGGCGAGGGAAGAAGGCGTTCATCCGCGCTGGGTTGGAACGTCAATGCTTATTTCCTTTCCCCTGTTGCTTGATTCCTCCCTGTGAAGGGCGACAAGACGGATACGGGCGGGTTTCTCAGAGTGGTTCTTGTCCGAAGTGATAGATGTGGTCCAATACGTCATGGCATGTTTTTAGAGCCCATTGTATATGTACATTGAAACACGGGTGTACGTGTTTGGACAAGTAAACTAGAATTCCAAGAATTGTGCTGTTGCAGCGTTGTCCAAGATTGAGAACCTGGACAAACAAATGGCCGGTTGGGCGGCATGCATGATCGAAACACACACACCGTCGCATCGGTCCGAATTCACCACACGTTTATGTACAGGTTGAAACGGAATTTTTTGTGGTTTTACCGCGGTAAAATTACCGCGAAGAATTTCCGAGGACAGCCAGCCCTGAAAACCTACTTCTTGCGGGTGAAAGCGAAATAAATATAGCTGAAAAAGCTCTCGTGAGTACCAAACTTCGACGTTAGCACCGTTGACGAGGGAAAGGGGCGGCTGGACCCATTTCTCGCGATAACAATATTATTCAGCAAGCACCCAAGGATGTACGCGAAAAAATATTCCGGACACACAGGCGACCACCCCCTCCCCCGGAGGGGGGAGAAATTCGAAAAGTCACCATGGATCGTCTAAAAGTTACCATGACGTTAGACGGATGGCAAACGTGCCTCGCTCTCACTACCCCTTCGCATCTGCTCGTCATCGATGCCGGCCCACCCTGACCCAGCTGTTCTACAGGAACACACGGAAACAAGCAGACTACTTACAGCTTACGTGTATAGCGCCTCACTCCTCTTTCCTTATAGAAGTATGATAGTACATTATCGACCAAAGCTAGCTCCAAATGATGAGCGAAACAACCGAGCAAACAACCCAATTCTTTTGGGACAGGTCATTGACGAGGTTTCACAACCATCCATTCAGTGAAACAGCCACCTGCCTTGCAAACTTGCCCTTGCCGCTTCTACCACTGCGCAACAGGCAACACAGTAGTAGTCTCACAAATCTACTACCAGGTACTGTATATAGCCTTGGTCTTGTAGGGTTAAGTTTGACTTGATCAATCTACCCTGCTTAGTCATCATGCGAACCCCTCTGTATTTCCGAGGTATCGCGCGGTGTCTCGCTACGTTTGTTTTCTGCGAGCCAGTCGGCGAATATGTGCTTGAACGTGCGACGTCGCCATCCATTGTACTCTGACCAATCGACCCCACGGGCGACTGGCAGGTTAGCGGCAGCTCCTAGCTAGATGTGCTCATGGGGGTATGCATGAGAAGATTGCAAACGCGACCCTCTGGTGTGCGGGGTGTCTGCCATCTCTCGGCGGTCTCCATAGCCCCACAGCGCCAGCGGTGATGCACACAACGAGAGCCGGGCGACCAAGCGCCGACGCCTCAGCGTAAAACCCGGGGATACATGGGTAAAGGTCCCGCCCCCCCCCCCCCCCAAATGACCCCCCCCGCCCCCACGGACCCCGAGATTCGATTATTAGTAGGCCTATCTATGTGTCTTGATTTTGTTTTCGCGTAGATCCTTGGTACTTTAGAGAGCACAGACGAGAAAAAGATCCGCGTTCATAGTCTATGCTACAACCGCCATCAATCGGTGCTGCGTACAAAGTTTGGCGTCCAACCCGACGACCATCCAGCTTTCACAGCCAAGCACACCACCAGCACTCGGTGGAGACGACTCGTCTTTCGATTGCACACACACAGACACATGTTTTCCCGCAAACTCAGACCTCTTTATGTTTATAGGCAACAAAATAGTGTTTCCGCTGCACCCGTAGTTACTACGGAGTAGTAACCGGATGGAGTAGACGGGGAGTTACGTAGTCAAGGAACGCCTGTTCTCTTCTCTCAAAGAGATTTCTTGTTGGTTCTGTTCTTTTTTCCCGGAGTCATGAACTGCCCAGTTATTTTGTGCTTGCTTATTGCAAGCTGTAGTATGCATTGTAGTAGGCCATATATACATACAGTACTTCGAATGTTCTATTTACTACATACATCCGACATTTTGCTCGCAAAGTGAACAACCCTCAGTAGTCTTCACGCACCGCCCTCACCGAGAAATCTCTTTCGGCAGCGCCCAAACATTCCAAAAGGACAGAAATATATATATATATGCATTTGCACAAGTAAGTTTACAATACGTGTGTGTGTATATATATTCTTGTTTCTGCCTCATTCATCAGCCCTGTTTTCTTTTTCAACGTTCTTGTCCAAAACGCACGGCGAAGCCGTACTTTGCAGTAGTGGGAAAGACCCCTCTCGCAAAGAGTATGGTATTAATTAGTAGTGTGGTCCATGGAAAACATATTGTCTAATACTAATAATCTCCAACAAAGAAAGGTACACCTACTTTCTTGTGGGGTATACTCTACGAATGAATAAGATTTAAATCTGAAAGTGAGGAGTGTGTACCGTTCGTTCAACACCCTGTCTCCGCGGGCGAGCGCACCTACCTATCTATCTACCAAACAAAGCCGAGTTTCTTATTATCTGCAATAACCCGGAATCCTTCCATCCGTTTGCTCCTTCCATCCGTTTGCGTCGGCGGCGTAGAGCCGTATCCGAATATATCAACGGATGGATGTGGACAGCTGTTGGAAATTGCTATATAGTAGCTCTAAATGTCTTACTTTTCCGCCGGCGGCCTCGGCTGCCCTTAAGGGCGCGGGGGGGATCGCAGTACCTCCTCTGAAAAATCCAGGAAACGCCTGCATATCTCGGTTTTCCAAAGTCTAACTCCAGTACGAAACTACCATCGAAAATTAACCGCCCGCAGCGGTCGCTTGTGTACAATGTTAGTAGCTGAGGTTGTACCCCTTGCGATACACTACAGACTAGCGGTCCGCGATTTTCCAAACGATCCTTCTATCATCGAGTTCGGTGAGCTACAAGCTAGATTTTTGAAGCTGCAGTGCGGTCCAATTTTGAAACGCTTCAAGCACCTTTCTTTGACTAAAGGCTGGACATGCATA